AAATTGAGCTTCAGATATGAATTAAAAACCGGGGGGGGGGGGAAGGAGAAGTCAGCAGTGTTTATTGAAGTATTATTGAATTAAGAGACCTGCAAAACCATGTGTGCGCAACGTCCAAATCAAAAGTGTGGAAATCCAGACGTTAAACTAAACGCAATGTGTACGCGTGCAAAAGGCGACATAAAATTAAATTGAAATCCAGCACAGATGAACATGTGGCGTGACCAAAAGGCGGTAATGGGTTCCCAGTGTGGTGTGAGCAAGAGTAGGACTACAAAAGTCAACTCCCTGGGCAGCTGACCAGCCACATGCTCGACCTCAAGATTTTTTCGTGTGTCATCAGCGATTTTAACGTTCACATTTCCGTTATTAAACTTTTCCTCAAATAAAGATGGTGCATGGTACGATGTGACATTTTTTGCCTGACTCCTTTTTCTCGTCCGATTTTTTTTCAAACATGAACCCCTTACCGAGATTATACTGCTGTTAAAATCGCTTCACGAAAACGAATCATCCTCGTGATGTTTGCTGTTCCGCTTAGCCGGTCTTCTCATCCGTACCGTGTCAACGGTAAACTGCACATTAACCTCGTCCCCACACTCTAGCAATAAATTTTTTCTGACAGAGCAAACGGACTTCAATTCTACAGCTCTTATCCGTGAGTACGTTTTTCGCCGTACATTACATCAGCTCAATCCCCTATGATGGCTTTATCCTACAATTTACATACCAAGCAAAAAAGCATTCCCCAAACTATGTGACACCGAGCGTCTCCGTAGGGCTCAGAGGATGAACAGCATGTGCAAGTGATTGCGTATGCATCTACGCTTTTTAACACACACTGATGATCGTAACTACTATATGACTGTAACCCAAAAAGCCGAAAAAATGAACAACCCTTGGAGGACAGTTCAACAGTCAAGCTTATCAGCTGGATTCGACCAAGTTGGAATTTAGCAAAATCAGTCAACTACGGCATTTGTTGCGCATTTTCTCCTTCGTAAATAATTACCAGAGCGTCACCAAATCAACACTAATGAAAAAGGCAAAAATACACATCATACCCTGTGAAAACAACTCTCTTCTCATAAATCCAGAGTCCCACTATTTAGCCTTAATTTTGTGCGACCCACTATCACCGTTATGTAGGCTCTCGAAACATAAAAACCACCTGGATCTAGTGGCATCCTAGATCCAATTTTATTTCCTAACTGTGCTCGTAAACTCGCCAGATCATATGAAAATTTTCTGTTCCAATTTGTTCAGGCATCCTGTCATTGTTCTGGAACAGTGTCCATGTAGTACCCATTCTCATACATGGTTTCGCATTTGACAAATTCAGTTAATCCTATCCCATTAAAAGTTCTGTAGTAAATTATGCCTGAACATGCATTGTATGATCTTGAGGATAACCGCATCCCGAGCCATAATTACTGTGGGTTTAGCTGTCACCGCTCTACAGACTGCACATTGAACAATTTGTCATATGCATGACCATCCGATTTGATAAATGAGTGGTAGCTTCTCTTGATACTCCCGTTATGTCCGGAATGCGGATCCCTACGCAAAATTCGAAACCGCGGATTACAGTCCAACCTGATCAAGCGGATTCGACGTTTTATGAGTGGGCTTCGAATGCTAACTGACGCTGAATGGGATCGCAGGCATTCGTCCATCATTCAGCGTCTTATTGCTTGAAGCACATTGCTACTCATCGATCACAAGCGGTAATGCACCAGACATCATAACACTGACCTTGCCGGTAGTCGCGAGTGGGTCGTATCGAATTCCTCAAAGTTTAGCACAGACAAAAACCTCCGCACATTCAACCCTATTCACAATTCCCGACATACTGACAGCCCTTTGACTGGATCCACTAACACTGCTCATTCTTCCCCAATCAACCTTGTTACATTCACGTTCTCCTGCAAAACTACTGTCAAACTACTTGTGGTCGATGGTCACAGAAAATTGGAATTCCAAAGTATCAGCTCTCAGCTAACTTGGCCTTCCTAAACTTGACTCCCTACTGTGGAATATTTCTGTAACTTTTGTGGTGGACTACCCTCACCCTATCTTTTCTTACTGCATCCAATTCACATAAACATATACGCCTCATCGCTCTACCCTTTCTGACCAACTGCCTGCAGAAACACTCAATGTCCAGATATGATATGTTTTGCTTTGTTTTCCAGCGACTTTTACGAGAGATCTTAGTCCGAGAATTTTTTCCTACATCTATCTACAGCAACACCGAAGTGACTGATCCTCTTCTTTTTACCTAAACAATCCGTCTTTGGAAATCTCCACTAATTTCTGGGTTTTCTAACTCTTAGCAGCTCCCTAAAACTTTATGTAATCTCAATTCATTCATGCCATTTCCGATGAGACGTACTGCAGCCTTTGTGCAAAACATTAAAGTTGACAAAGCATTATAAAAAAGAGAGAGATCCAGTTGAGTTAACTGGTAACGCCCTTTCAATTTGCAAACGAATATTCATTTCCATAAATAAATGTTGGCTTGGCGCTACTTTAGGCTGCTCATTCAATGCTCAGAACAGAGGTTTGACGTTCCTTCCACCTAAAAATGCGGTTTGTACAGTAGCTTCCATTGTCCCGAACGGATAAAAAAGTGTGTTCGCACGAAGTTTACTATCCTCGGAGGTGGGATCAAATCTAACTGTGTGAGACTAAAAAAAACCCTTGAATCTGTACTTATGCGTTTGACCATCAAACGAATGGAAGTTTGTTGCTCATCATCTGCAGATAATTTTTGATAAACACAGGTGAAGGACGGTGGATGCCTTTTTATAACAGACTTTGGCTGTTTCGCTGTGACTTCTGTCTTCGTGAAATTGTAATGCTGTCACGCAGGACACGGTAGGCTAGTTATTCGGTATGTTGCCTAATCTAGTCAGTCTCTTGAGGGTGATCCCCTGTGAGGGGAACAGCTTGTCCAACTCACTTTATGTTTGAACCGATAGTGAGCAAATTCCATGATCCACGAAAACAAACCCTGAACTTACCGTCTCATCTTGTCCCCACAAATCCCCAGTTGGGATGAAGCAGGGTAGTATACATGATAGCTGTTCAACAATGGCGGACGAGCATGTTCTAATGTCGTTTTCAGAAGTGTTGGTTACTTCTTATAGGAAACCCGGATACTGAATAATAAAATTGACTACAGAAATCACTGTAAAAAGGAGTAGTCCAAAGATTGGCGTTTAATTCAGCGAAGCTTCAGGTTTACGTTGGACTGTGGATCCAAAAGTAATCAGCTCTAAGAGTATTTCAAAATAATGGCAAGGTGGATGGTTTGGTGACAGTCCTACTGAGAGTGATCGTTCATCAGTACCAATCAAGGTTCGTGAACGGCCACATAATGAATTTGCAAAAACAACTTCAAAGCTTTTACACCTGTTTTCCCCTTCGGGATGGAGTAACCAACTTTTCCTTTCTATTCCTAAATATGGCTCCGCTCTGACTTTATCAACTACCGATCCACTTCCACCCCTCCCATTTTGTCGTTGTGAACTTCTCAGGCAAATTTTCGCCCTCGAATTAAGCCAACACTTATTACAAAAATCCAGTCCAATGCAGGTCCACCGCATAACGACAAGTGGACTTTTGGTATGCAGTCAGCCTATAAAGTGGGAACATGCACGCCCATGGGATCCGTTACGTGCCATGTTCTGCCGTGTTTCCAGAAAGGTGAGGATCACGTGATTCTCGGACATAAAGGCTAAAAGGCCTCAAAACACTTAGATTGACTGTGTCCAATTTGATTGCATGTTACAGAAATATGATATCAAGTCATAAAAATTCTGCGCTGTAAAATTAGCTAAGACACATGCCCTCTTCTTTTCCGATAATGTATGTACAGCAAGCCCTCCATTCACAAGAACATAAGGTACGACCTTCCACTGA